CAGATTAACATTATGACGATATGTAGCAAATAAATTGCATAATCTACAGCACTGGACAAACTACGGTATGACGTTCGTAAATATTCATTCGGGGGAAGCCGTGAAACGCCATCTGTCAACAACGAGGTAAAACATCATATCTAACGGGGGTAAAACGAAGTCGCGGGCTGCCGCTAGTTTATAATAGGTAGCTTTCCCTCTGCAACCTTATTGGTATTCCATGTATGTGTCTTTTAACTGATTTCTGTTAAACATTTCATGCAAAATTTGTCCAGTTATAACTCTATTTACACCTGCATCTGTAAGCAAGGATTCATGTTCTCCAGCCCAGATGCAGAGTAAACAGAATCATCTTTCAGTGACGTGCAGCTGCCCCTATATTTGACCCACTGACCTAATTTTTAATTATTTATTTGTGTCAGTGTGCTCTTCTAAAGAGTGTAAGACGATTGTATGTAGGTACTATTAAAATGTAATTTTAACTCATTGCTTTCGTCTCATATTTGAGGAATGTAACTATGTATCATGAGTAGANGTTTAGTATAAGATTCAGAATCTCAAATCGCTTATTTAAAAAATAAAACCATAAATAGAAAACGAATAGAGGTAACTTTGGGAATTTATTCTATCGAGTCAACTTCATCAAATCGTGTTTCCATCCGTTAATAGCCCTAGAAAATATCCTCAACTATGCCCAAAAAAAATCTCAGCCTTTAATTTTACTGTTTAGTACCTCAAAAATGAAAAATGAAAACCTCATTTTCGCCATTTTCTCTGCTACCCGGCCTTTACGCTAATCTAATAGTATGATAAATTTTAATATTACCTTACGGTTATTCGAAAATACAATACGTTTACATTTAATATCAAAACATCATAATAACGGAACTTATATTGATCGACTCTTTAACACCACGCCATCAACATTCAAAAGATGATTTGACACGTCTTATTAATTAATATGGGACAACGTTGACGACAAAACCGTCTACTGAACGATGATATTTTTCAAATTAATCGCATCGCGGAATCCATCAATCACGTGGGCGCTGGCGTTCCATACTCGTGCACAAAGTCTATGGTGTCAAAAAAGATAGACCGACTTTGGATTTATTGAAAAGTTCTAATGGTCCCATAATATTTACAATCCTTTGGATATTGTATTTGTATTGAAGTAAGCACTTAGACTTCGTCACCAAGAGACCTCTTCAACAATATCACAATCGAACGTAAGAAAATACCGCACACTTTTGCTTTTATAAGAAAATCATTACTTATGTGACTCTCACTCACGAATTTATATCCCAAATAAAAAAGTAATGTTAGATTTTAGAAGAACTCCAGCACCCACATATCGATATCAGAAAATTAGAATATGCGTAAATTTACCTAATCCTAAAGTCAGCATCACACCGATCCGATTCTCACGGCACTACTGGTTGGGCGGGAACAAAGAGAAGAATATCCGTCATGGCGTCCTGATTTGTCACGGGGGCTGATTCATTAGGCGAGCATTAATCTTGGCATCGGTTACGCTGTAACATGATAAAGCCTTAGCCTAAAGGGGCGCCTTTAGTGGCGCACAAAACATTGCTGTGACTTGCCAACCAAATACATAATTAAACTCGCAAGAACCGTCTAACATGCTAGCAACCCTAATTAAGTAAGGTATCTTAGCCCGTACTTTTTATATTTACTTTAATTAACCTATTACTTTATTAAATATCAAAGGAGTATTATTTTTATTTTATGCAAATAGAAAAATGTAGAGAATTTCTGTAGCTACTTCATTTTATATAAACTCTCCCTAACCCGCCATAAATTTTGGCAAATTTCTTCTTCCGATACCATAGGATTTCGTGAAAGTGAACCTGAGAAGTGAACCTTTTTATAAGCCAGCTTAAATGGGCCTTGGGAAACTAAGAACTTACTTGGATTTTCCCTTCTATTTTTGTCAGGGAAGATGTACATAATTAGCAATAGAACATGCCGCGCATGTGTAAATCAGATGAATTCTAGTTGTACAAGTATACAGACCTATAACAAATAAGGTTCTTAGTGCAAGCCAACATAGAAGAGAATGAGGTAGCGAAAAGCAAAAGTAATTATCTTCGTAACAATTTTCTGATCACAAAGAAATCTCGCTCTTCCGTAACAATACATTGTTTCATATAGAAGTATAGATATGTATATAAAACTAGAAACATACTCGTACGCTCAAACGAATGGTTTAAGGAGGTCATGCAATGCCATCATTAGTAGTATAGTCTTGCCGAACAGTTTCTGAACGATGAAGACAAAACAATATTGATATTAGATAATGGAAAAATAGCGTGCTAGAAACGTATTACAGCGGAGGAAAATTCTATTTCCTCATGTCTTCTATGTAGAGTTTCCTACTTATATCTAAATATATCATGAGCAGTATTGTCTGTTAAGAATCGTTTAACATGTCGAAAGATAAAAATACGTATTTTCTTGATAAATTGATGTGTATTTTATGAGAGGTTTGCTCTTCATGTTGCCAATCAACTCCACGAATCTTTTATATTCATATTTAATAATACCAACCATCCATGCTGTTAAGTGATATTTACTGTATGTTATGATTTTTTTAATTACCAAGTATAAAAATTATTTGCAAACTAACACGATATGTCTGCGGTCCCATTCGTTTACTTTCCTATTCGCAAAAAAACATTTTACTCATACATAGTATTTAAATACATAATATCGATAAAAATCCACGCTACTTCTACACTGTACCGTCAAATATCTTAAAATATTTTCAAAGCACGATCTAATATATGGCATGAAATAGATCATAACGCAGTATTAAGCGAACTTTATAGTCGATTTTTGATATATTCTACTATCATCCAATAAATTTCGCACGAGAATATGCGTACTCACCATTAAGTATGATTTAAGTGGTCGTAATTTATGTATGACACATAATCGATGGTCATGCGCTACAAGGAAGGACATTCTAACCTTCTCTTGAACAATTATTAGTTATTACAGAAACACTTTTTATGTAAATATTATTTAAGAAATGACATAACTTGATAAATCGTCAACGAACACCTTTCAGTAATCAAAATTCATAGGGGAGAGTTCGGTATATTGTACCGCCGGGTAAATTGTACCACCCTCATATTTCGTAAAGTATTTATTGAATGTCTGTAATTGCAACACTCAGCGATAAACAACTAAAATCAATTAATATCGGCCATGTGGTTTTTGCCGTGACAACAAACACGTGTGTTTTATTTTGAAAAGTATTTTTTCATTGTTTTCAAGTAACTTTTGACAATACATGTTTAGATTGTAATTTTGTTAAATTTAATCACAGGGTGTTTCTAATATATTATTTAGAAGCGTAAATTAGTGTGGATTACAATATTTGAAACATTTTTCGGTATTTATAAACTATATTTTTTACCGATTTTTTAAAAGCACTGTCACCTAGTCGGCTAAATTGTACCACATCAAGTTGTATGGAACTTTACCAAAGGATTTTGATTTTTTTTGAGTAAATCATATTTTGAAGTTATAATAGCGTAGTTATGTTTGACTAACAATAAATTAAAGCAAAAGACTGGCAAAGTAGATTAGGTACAAGTGTGCGTTACGATAATTGGAATTACAATACTTGTACTCGAAATCGTGATAACGAGTAAAACAATATCGATTGTCTATGTTATTAACTACTGTTCCTCTTCGTTTCCTAATTTGTTAAGAATGTATCGTATAATATTTTGCCATAGTTTTTTTAAAGGCTTGAAATTTGTTTAAATCCAATTTAGTAACCCTGTGGTACAAATTATCGAACCGGTTGGANAATGGACATAAAGAGAAAGAAATATTATTGTGCGGCGTTCGGGTGTTTAAATTCGAAAAGAAATCTACCGGATTTATCTTTTTTTCGCTTCCCAAAGATGCTGAAAGGTATGTTGGCCATGTAGGTATTTTTAGGATAGTATAGGAACCTAACCTACCATGACTACTGCTCTGAATGCATTCGTTCGTTTCAGCCAAATGACGTCCACTGCTGGACATAGGCCTCTCCCAAGGTTTTCCATAATGAATGCGTACTTACCTACATACGTACCTCATTACAAATAAGTAGATTTATTATTTTTTCACTAGACAGCAACCCTAACAGCGTAAAAAGAGTTCAAAAGCACGCGATAGAAAGAGACAAAACTTGTAGGTGAATAAAATTGTAGGTACGTACTACGTAGTGCTGTGCGAGCTGAATTCCACTGTATCGCGTCGTAGCAAGACTCGCATTTATTTAAATCGTCTTGCGGAGTAATCCTTCTGTACCTGTACTATTACTTATTCTGTGGTTACAGTCTGTTCAGCATTGAGAGTGTAGAGCAGGCGCGGATCCACCGTTGTGGGCACTGTGGGCATGCCCACAACCCTAATTTGCTTGTTTTAATTATGATCTATTGATAAGATCGATAGGCACACTGGCACATGCCTATTGTCCGGGCATGTAATGATCCAACTCTCACTTTGCTCATTTTTGGTGGTAGGGCCCACAATCTTTTTTGAGGGCTGGATCCGCGCCTGGTGTAGAGTGTAGTGGAGACTAATGCCCGTTTTCACCATCAATCCCTAATTTTCAAGTGACCCCTTTGAAACCAAAATTCCTGTTATGTGTTACCATAGGGGACACTTAAAAATTAGGGATTGATGGTGAAAACTGGCTTAAATGACCTTTTTTTTAATTTGATATGAGGCAACCTGCAGTTGATGATGAGAAATTTCTTAGCGATTAGAGTCTACTACCCCATATTGATGAAATAAAACGCGGCCATATCAGCGTATTACACTTGAAAATTTCGACGGGTTCATCCAGTGTCTAAGTAGCTCAGTTGGAAGAGCAGTCGCCTGGCAAGCGGAAGGTCGTGGGCTCGATTCCCGCCTTAAGCAGTTCGATTTTTTCAAGTTATTTAAAAATTGATGATGATAATTTAATTTTGCAGGTTTTGGCGGCAAATTCGGCGTGCAAACTGACCGAATGGATGCATCAGCCGTGGGGCACGACTACGTGGGAACCGTGGATAAGCACGAGTCGCAGACGGACTACTCGCGCGGCTTCGGCGGCAAGTACGGCGTGCAGACCGACCGCGTTGACAAGGTGAGCTGTGGACCTTGTGTCTTAGGCCATAAGGTTGAGTTAAGTAGGTGCAGATAGTCTGCGTCCATAAGAGGCGCTGTTGTGAACCTTGTGTCTTAAGTTATAAAGTTGAGTATAGTAAGTACGAGTCGCAGACGGACTACGCGCGCGGCTTCGGCGGCAAGTACGGCGTGCAGACCGACCGCGTTGATAAGGTGCGCTATTGTGGACCTTGTGTCCTAGGTCGTAAGATTGAGTTCAGTAGGTGCAGATAGTCTGTATCCATAAGGTGCGCTGTTGTGAGCCTTGTGTCTTAGGTCGTAAGGTCGAGTTCGGCGTGCAAACTGACCGCATGGACGCGTCGGCCGTGGGGCACGACTACGTGTAGCTAGGTAGCCAAGGCTACAAAGCCAAGAAAAAATAATTGTGTAAACTTGGCGAAAATGGGACGTTGTAGCTAGCATACGTTACAATGTTGTAGCGCAGTAACTATATTATTATGCGGTGAAACCGAACACCGATACCGCATGCTGTGGCCATCGCTGCTGTGTAAAATGAGTTCATCAGTCGCGTTTGCATCAATCGCGTGAATAAGTGTTTTTTGTGGTGATCAGAAGACGTTAATATGGCTTCAATTGTCTTTTCATCCCTTTAAGCTATGACTGTTCAATGATGAGTACTATCGTTATGGATCGTGAGGTAAGTGTTAGGGATATATTAAGTCCGCTACAGAGCAATAAACAGAGTGGTCNGTGTAAAATGGGATTGAAAAAAACTGGTCCAAATTAGCGGACTCTCCCTTATATCCTGAAACCAATTTTGGACAAATTTTAAGCAATTAAACTATGTCTGAATTAAATAAATGTAATTTTCCACTATGTTAAGGTAATCCGTCACAAAATATTAATAACACTCAAAATTCATGAACTATTTGTTATCTGCTGGGGCTTTGTACTAATCTACTTAATTCAATTATTAGGATCCAAGAGGGAAGGAAGAAATTGAGATAATTTAATTTGCCTTATAAGTTGGTATCTAATAAAGTTGTAAGGCGAAGAATTCAATATCATTTGTAATAGCTATAGGTGTCTAAGGGGACAAAGAAAATTAGAAAGTACCCGCCAGACACGGGGCTGGGTAAGTAGGCGTAATATATTATGTACGAAATGTATTAGAGCTGTATTTAATCCGGAAATTCATCACACCTGCACCCTGATTAAGGGTGTCTTGTCATAGCAGTCACAGTACTTCAACCAATTTTACTTTAATATACTTAGAAAAAGTTAGCTAAGGTATCCGGAACCTTATGTTTCAAGAATATTAACATGCCATTCTTATTTTAAATCTTGGACCAGTTGAATAGGACTTCGAATCGTTCCTCCAGAAGTCGAGTAAGCAAACCTGTGATGACACTGAGCTCGTGTCATTATTCATATTTCCCTTTGACACACTTCTACGAAGTTCGCAACACCGTGTGGGGGATTAAGTGCCACCCGTCTACAGCTGCGTCCTGTCGGATAAACATAATTTACTAACGACATCTGCCAACACTAACTTAATAATGGTAGAAATTACGCCTCCCAGAATAATTGTATCACGGTGACTTCGGCTGACGTAAACAAACAATCTCGGGACGCACGCAAGAAGGGATTGTTTTTCTCGGTTATTAGAAAAGACACGAAGATAGGTACCTGCCCTGCTCCGATGGATTCCACCGTGTCTAAAAAGAACGAGGTAAGCACTAGTCCTTCCGTCCGAGGGAGATTTATATCCGTACAATGGACTAATCCGCTGACGATGGGATTGCGAAGGACACCTGCTCACCAAATGGAAACTGTTTTTCGGACTTAAGTATTTTTTGTGACTTGAAAGTAAGCCCGTGTTGGAAGCGATGAAGGCTTCCCCACAATACACGAAGCGGAGGATTATTACGCACGTTTAAAACATAATACGTTCCATCGTTGGCACAAAAAGAGAAACATTTTCCGTTTCTATCGCGGCTCGAACGCTTACTCCATCAGCGCAATCCTGTTCATGAATTTTGGTAGCTTTAATATTCATGATTTGCGTTTGTTTGGTTTCGCTATAATGCAAACACATATTTTTGCTTACGGATAAAAATGCTGCAATGTAGGTATATTAATAAAAGCGTGTTATATGTAATATATCGCATACCACGCCACTTAACAAACTTTTGAAATAACAAAGGGAAATTTTGTTGACACTGAAACAAACAAGAAGTTATATTAAGTAAATTAATATTAACTTTCGGTTGATCATATTTAACTTTTTTCAAGCAATCAATCAAAGCCCACACGAGCAGAATCAGATGATAAAACAACTTACTCGTTTTTACTCCTCTTATTAATTAAATCTTAATTCTGCGAAAATGGTAATAACGCTACTAAGCATAGAAGCTTAACATAGAAGCTTAACATAGAAGCTTAACATAGAAGCTTAACATAGAAGCTTCCTCTAGACATCTTCCGAGAACTGTTAGGTAATTTGTGCCATATCCCTGAAATTATGGGTACCTACTTGCTTGCTACCTATAATTTCCGGTTCCCGTTTAAGGTAAGATACCCTGTATACTGCCGTCGTAAGATACTATTCTCCCATAGAGATAAGTTTACGAGCCCATAGAGCCACAGCGCATGCCTACACCATAGGCTTAATTGTTTAGGTAGAGAAACACTCTTGACAAACTGTATTATTACCAAAATCAACATTATTATGGCTGCAAGTATGTACTTAAAGTATTTACGGCAATATTAGTCAATCAAGAACATAATCCTAAAATAACTTAACTCAATTTGCTTCAATCATTAACTTGAAAGCCGAAGAGCATTCGTTTGACTTACGACTTCAAAAGTGAGTAAGTAATTATCCTACTAAATCTAAAACCAATAAATGTTACAAAATATCGTTTCAAACTGCTGTGGGTTAATGAAATACCTAGTTATTTTTGTAACAAATGGGTACCGACAAACCTTTTGAAATACCGTTTTTTGTAAGATAGTCTTTATTACTGATAAGTTGTTGTCATCTAGCTCAGGAATAAAGTATTATCCAACTAAATCAACCGTTTTAATAGAACCTATTGTGGAACTCTATCCTAAAACTAGGACTAGCTGAAATTCCAGCATAATCCAAAGACTCGCGCGATTCAAATCCTTTTAATGATTCATCGTGGCTCACCGCAATTAACACGGAATTACATCTTAATTGTTTGTGTTGTTGTGACTTGTGCCGACAAATTATCTGGAAGTTCTGCGTTAGCGACTTGGTTACTTTAATTATAAATGGATCGGCACTTCGCTCATGTCAACACAGCTACTTCTATTGAATCGTTAATTGGTAATTTAATTGTTCTTGTCTTAACAATTTAATGCTGTAAATGTTTGAAAGCAATCCAATTCATGTTTTATAGCTAAACATTGAACGAGTAACGGACTAAATTGCACAGCTGAGATTTGCAGTTCTCATTAAGTATGCAATAACGAACTCTACATTAAAGTAGTTCAACGTATGAGTGAATGCATGAATGTCTTTAAAGACGAAATTATCTTTAACTAAAGCATTAACATTCTAGTTATGACAATAGAAAGGTCAAAGACCAAATCGTATGAGGTCCTAAAAAATACAACTAGATACCGAACATCGGTAGTTCTGTATTATAATAAAATAGATATAGAATGGGTTTCACAAAGAAGGGTGTGCTGATATAGTCCTAAGGGCAGGGGAAAGATGATACTGTATTATCCAATTGAATTACATATTCAGTAGGATTACAGTATCAGTAAAAGTAAGTTCAAGGGTCATGTTTCCTAACGATACACCAACCAATGCAAAGTAAATTTAATTTCAAAATTTACGGATTATTTAAATTATACTACTAATTTCACAACTATTTAAATATTTAACCCATGTAACATTCATAAACATAGTAGTGATTTCAATTTTTCAGAAATAAATATTTATTCTCAGACTTTTCCCGAGTATCCTAAACTTTGTTGGTCCGATGGTAAAGAAAAGGCGATTAAAAGTCCATCTAAGTAAATTCTTGTTACATTATTTAAAGGAGACATTTGGAAACGAACTGAAACAAATCACAGGAAAGTATCAAAACTAATTTCAGTGCCTATAGTTTTGCATGCACACGAAAGTGGCCCTAAGCCTTATATGGATATGATGGTATAACACCCGCCTATCAGGATAGGCAGTGCACATTAAATCTAAGTAGTTAGACACCTACCCACATTCCACTATACCCCGCTATAGAATAACCATTAATAACGTTCATTATACCAGCTTAAGGTGACGATTAACGAGCGCGTGTGGAACCAAGTACTAGCTCCCACGTATTCATTACATCTTGATCTATGATTTTCCTTATGCTTTTGAGTATTTTTTAATAATGTATAAACTCTACATAAATGTGATTGACTCAATATTTTAATTATATTAATCAAATTATTATTCCTTATCCCATAATCCATTTCAAAATTAAGTATATAAATAAACTTTACGATCAATGAAACTGTATCTTAATAACGATGTTGTTTATTTGTCATTATGTAACATTTACAACTTAATTCGATAAATAAATAGAAAGAAGAGCTCCCTACGGTCCATTTACGGGAAAGTACTTAATTAATATTTCAACTTTGGTAGGCCGACGATCCGTTGTATTATCCGTAACGATTAAGGAATAATTTATCGTTATTGTATTTTGTATACGGCGTGGAAAATCTTCCAGGAGTATATTTTGTGCGGTTTTCTTTTTCAGCTTATTGGATAACTTCGTTGGACTAGACAAATCCGCGTACTCGAGACTGACATATCAGTAAAATGAGCTTAAAAAGAACGAAGCCATAAACAAGATTGGGGAAAGTAACTCTGAGTATTGATGGATGGGATAAGAGTTTCAATGCCGTGATACCGTGAATATAATTTAATGCAGTTATTCAACGTAATGATATGTCAGTTTTAATGTCTAAAGGAAGAGCCCACAGCCGCTAAATAAATTCGAATATCTCGCCACGCAGTTAGAGCCAACTTTGAGAGTGCCCTGAATATTAATACACAGGTCAGGATGAAATTAATTTATACGAACCTAACAACCTCTGTTTCTCTGGAATTTTCTATTTCAAAATTCCTTCCTCGTTCGTTTCCGGAATCACGACCAATGGATATTTCTAATACCAAAAAGGACTTCTTACTCTTAATGTTCTTTACGTTTTATTCGACTAATTAAAAGTGGGGTCTCTTAAAATATTTTCGACGATGGCAAGACCCTCGCTCCGCATCAATTAGTATAAACAATATGGTTTTAAGTGTTTTGTCGGTTCTGGGCTCTGCATTCATATTTATCTCTGGTCGTATAAT